TTTCTCTCGATGCATTATAAAGGCAAACAGAGGTAGGGGAAGCATGGTCACTAAAACAAACTAAAGCCAGGTATTTGAGTGTGGAGTTAATTAAGTGAGGAAAGAGAGAAGAGATAACATGCAAGAGGGCCTGTGTCTTTGCCTTGCTTGAGTCCTAATGAAATACTGGAGAAGTGTTCTCAGCTAAGAGAACCACAGGACTAATACATCTTCCACTATACTTCATGAAGCAATTCATGTGATAACCTATCATATTTGAATTATTTTTGTTATTTATAACTAGAGAATGGTAAATGTATTCCTAAATTTTGGGTGTGATTTAAACGAATTAAGTTTGTATTAAGTTCAATTTGTGCCTTGTATTGAAAAGATATTATTTAAGATTATTGTTTATCTTCTCTATTTTAGCTCTGCCTTTTCCACATTACTCTCATAATTGAGTCTATATTTGTTTCATATAGCCATCTCCTTCAGAATTTGTCAGGAGAAATAGAGAACAATTTTAATAATATTGATATTAATATACTTCATCCCTATCTTATACTCATGGCTAGCAACAATTATTTTTTTCTATCTCCAACCATTTGCAAGAAAATAACAATTTTTAGTAATCACTAATTTTTTACAATAATTTATAAGTAAAATAATCCCCAGTTGTTGAAAGACATTTTTGAAAAACTATTAAATATCAACTGAACATCTTATTGAGGCAGGTCTGCAGTCTTTTAAAGCATTTGGTGAAAGTAGCTGCATGATGTAAAATGTAATAATAAAATAAGGCATATATGGCTTGTTTCTATATATATTTAGACCTAATGCTAACAATAAACTAATGTATTATTTTACTACACTTCATTCCTATATGATAGGTCACAGATTAAGTCCAGTTCTTTTAATTATGTGATAATCTGGCTGTCTAGATAATCAGAAAATGTTCCCATTATGAAGATCCATAAAGCATAGCAAAAAATACAATAAGCATACTTTTACATGTACAGATGAGCCAAAAACAAAGCAAGTTCTGGCAAGAAGTTTAGTAAGCATCTAAAGTAATGTGGTAGCTTCCCTGAGGGAGTTTTTTGAACTAAACAAATCTAGGTTTTTATGTTTTAATGAGTCTGTGCGAAGTAGGGAAGTGGAACTGAAATGATTACACACAACTAGAATTTGTAGATACTTAGATCCTTAATAAAAGTATGCACTGTTAAAAGTTCTGCCAGCAAGCACAGGTTGTGAACAAGGAAACATTCTGCCTCATCCATGACCCCAGGTTAGGACAAAAATGCTTCCTCCGGGTATTCATTACCATGAATTTGATTCAAAAATTGAAGCACTTAGTGAAAGTATATGCAAAACTGCTCTGAAGGGACTCTCTCTCAACTTACATCATGAGGCAACCACAATTAACATCCCACTGACTGAGTTCATAATAGAATTCCAAAATGACCAGTGACAACATATTCCATTTTAAGAACCCAGAGGCATATTAAAGAATAATAATTTGTAAAAAGTACTAACAGGGATTATAAAACCAGCATGTCCACCTAATTAAAAACAATAAAAAAATTTCAAAATATGAGAATAAGGTGTTTTTTGGGGGAAAAACAGTTTATCTGAAAATTGATGAAAATAAATGTTCTCGGGAAGAAATATGGAATATGGTACTTAAAATTTCAGTTTCTAAATTGAAAAGCATATTAGATCCAGCTGAAGAGAGCATTAGTGGATTGGATGATAGATCTGAGGGATTCTCCCAGCAGGCTACATAGAGTGGTTGAGAGATGGAAATACACAAAGGTGCCTGAGCGTTACAGACATCAGAATGAGAACTATAATATTCCTAAAGAAGTTATAGGAAAAGAGAATGGAATGTCAGAGGGATTAACTAAATAGATAATGGCAAGAATTTTTAAGTATTCATGGATCTTTAACTTGAAAATATACCAAGTACCAAAGAAGATAAATAAAAACAAAATCAGTACCTTGACTCATCTTCATGGGACTGTAGAATCATAAAGACAGAAATAGTGTTAAAAATTAAGCAGAAAGCAATGCATGAAAAAAGGGCAAAAACTGTAATCAGAGACTTCTAATCAATATTTATGAATGCTAGAATAAAATGAAATGGTATCTTCAGTGTTTGAGAGTCAATAAAGTTGACTTTATAACAACTCAGTTACTGTTCAGTTATGAATAAATGCTAAATAATAAAAATGAAAGCAAAAGAAAATAACTAGGAAAGTTTACCATTCATAGATAGATCCTCATTGAAAGAGATACTGAAGAATGTACTTAAAAAGAATAGTGAGATGTCTAGAAAGTAAAGATAAAAGATATAACTGAGAAAAAAAATTGCTTAATAAAAAGGCAAATTGTTGCATAAACCCTGATGGTTTTTAAAAGCAACTGTCAAATTTTAGATTTGAAAAATCAAGATGGAACCATAATTTCAGATTAAAAACACATGAAAAATTGAAGGGAGAGATTGGATTAAAAGAATGTTATGTTCTTGCTTTTTTCAGGAGGAAGAGCTTTACACATTGTAAGGATATGTGGTAGGCAGGAAAAGTAACATTCCCTGCAAAGATGTTTATGCTCTAATTTCTAGAACCTGAAAATATGTTATCCTGTATGGAAGAAATGACTGTACAGATGTGATTATATTAAGGATCTTGAGGTGGTGAGATTATCCTGGTGTGAGGAAAAGAGAGAGGAGAGTCAGAGAGGGTCGTATGATGATGGAAGCAGGGGGCAGGGTGATGGAATTGTTGGCCTTCAAAATAGAAGGAGGCCCTGAGTCAAGAAACCTGGGTAGCCTCTGGAAGCTAGCGAAGGCAAGGAAACATATTCTCATCTAGAGCTTTCAGAGGGAACATGATACTGCTGACACATTGATTTTAGTGCAATAAAGCCCGTTTCAAACTTCTGGCCTTCAGACTGTAAGTTGAAGTTTTGTGTTGTTTTAAGCCACCAAATTTATGGAACTTTTACAGCAGCCATAGAGAACACATATATCATACTTTAAAATGTAAAAGGAATCACACATCAACCACAATTTAATGTTACTTTCAAAGTAGCCAAAAAAAAGTGAGTGAAAAATAAAAGGAAGAAAGAGAAAAAGAAGAACAAAGAAATAGAACTTGGTAAATAGAAATCATAAATAATAGAAATCCAAATATATCAACAAGAAAATAGAAAAGGATTAAATTCATTTATAAAGATATTATATAACTAGCTTTTAAAATTTTCGCTATGTACTCTTTATAAGAGACTCAGAGAAAATGGATGTTAACAACAAAATGAAAGCGATAGGACAAGCAAATACTAATGCAATACTGTATATTAATATTTGTTAGTATCAGACACAATCCACCTTAGCAAAGTAAACATATGGATTTTACATGATAATAAAAATAATAGTTCAAAATAAACAAACTTAGAGACTGAGTACTTAATAAACAATAAACTTTGAGATAAACAAAGCAAAAATTAGAATCACAGGGAAACATCAAAAAAATTATAACCACAATGGAATTTTAACAGTCTTTTCTCGGTACCATGTAAAAATCAATCCAGAATTGATTATTCTATGTAACAATTGTATATCAGAGCTTTTAAGAGCTAGATGGAACTGCACTCCAAAAAAAATATATACATTTCTAATATACAAGGAACATTTGCGAACACACATACACACACACATATATATACACATATACAGATATATGTATGTATTAAATCACAAATACTGCTAATGAGCCAAGCAAGATGTGAACTGAAAGCTAACCATTATCAAGATCAACGTAGACTTCATTGGTGAATAGGCAAAAGTATTGTGCTTTAATTTTAAAAGTCTTTTTTTTTTTATCATTTAGATACAGCTTTCAGATCCTGTAACAAACAGAGGAAATTTTTTTTAAAAGATAATTTTACTTTCTCATTTATGTACACACAAAAGACCTATTGTAATATTGTTTGTGATAGTAAAAATTGTATAGAACCTAAAAGCTTATTGCTAAGAAGTTGCTTATATTATGATACACTAATAGCAGCAATAAAATAATCCCCAACAAAACATCACAACTAACTTTTGAGAGCTTACTTTGTGTGTGGCATTGTTTTAAATACCTTATATGTGTTAACTCATTCCCCTTGCACAGTGACCTAGGTTTTTAAGGTTTTATGTATGTTAAATCATTTAAATTGAAGAATAAACCTAGGTGGTAGATATTATTACTATCTTTATCTTTTTGATGAGGTGACAGAGGCACAACAAGGCTAAATAAGTTGCCTAAGTTCACGTAGCTAGTAAGAGGTAGATTAAAAGTTTTGCTTTCATATATTCTGCCTCCAAATCTCATAACTTTTATTAAGATATATTAAATTATGTTCTATGAAATCCTAAATAATTGATAACAAAAGTGAAGCATTCTTAGGAATGCTAGGATATAGTTTCAGATAAAGAGTAAAAATTATAAAATATTATACATAGTTAGATCCCATTTATGTAAAATAATAATTTCCTTATACCATTCTTTTAAAAATTTTGCCAGTCTTATGACATAAAATATTATGTTGTTTTAAGGTGTATTTCTAACATTTAAATCTTCTATCTGGAAATAATTTTTGTGTTACATGAAGTAGGTGTCTTCCAGTAATTTTTCAAATGGAAAGCCTTGTCCCAATACCAGATACTATTTTTTGTAATAAAATAATAGAATACTGTAAAATTCAAAACAAGATGGGATCTTACTTTTGAAATATTGTCCATAATATGGGAACTGTCTAATGTCTGAGGATTAATTATATCATGTACAAATGTGCTATAAAATTTAATCTTCCATATCTTAGAATTAAAAATCTTATTCACAATTTTATTAGATTCTTGGAGATAACAGATGTGTTTCAATTACTCATATAACTATTAAAAATGAGTCACATGATGTTTTGTTTGTAGAAAATAATTTATCTCTATTTCAATTTTCTATTTTTCTTTCTAGGAAAGATTTCTGTGTGCACAAAGATGAACCATGTGATACTGTTGGTAAGTATAAAAATTCTCACACTTTTGGAGTTCTGGAGAACTTGAACACATCACTTGTTTAAGTATATGAAATTATTTGTGTTCTGGTTATAAAGGAATAACTTCAAAATGTCAGACATACATATTTTCTACCTATATGTTTAATCGTTTGTCAGCACTTCAGTTATTAACTAAATAGCTTAAAGACACATGTATCAACTATATGTAGGAGATAATCTTTAAGTGATGCTTTGAGGCTATAATCAGTCTTTTTTTGTTATTTTCTCAGAGATACACACATGAGTTTGATAAAATTTTATTATTATTAATAACCCAAGACAAAATATATTAATGACATTGTGATTGACTAATTTGCAGGATAACAGATTGTTTTTTATGTGTGTTTAAAAATCTTTGCAGACTGTGTCAAAATAAACTGCTGATTCAGTATGATTCTTCTTATGTAAAGTGGCAAATTTTTCACCATTTGTATTAGATATCTAAAGTGCCTAAAACAGAACCATATAGCCAACAGAATTCATGAAACCACTGTTCTAATTTTGAGAGAATGGCCACATATATTTTCATGTTTTAAAATGTATCCATATAAATATAAATGTATCTATCCAAAGATACCCCAATCTCTCTCTCTCTATATATATATATTTAATTTTAAGTTATGTAGCTGTGTGTAACAATATATTATTGGTAAGGTACATTTAAGAGTTGTAATCTAATTTTGGCATATCGTGTAGGGTTCATTTCTATAAGATGAGCAATATTTTAACTTGACCATTTTGTTGTGTCATTTGTTTTTTATAAAGTGAACAATAATAAACAATAAATAAACAATAAATAAAAGGGGGCAGAAACAGAACATAGGGATATTAGTATTTTAAAAGATAATTCTAACCAGTTCCATTAACCTAATTTTTCATCAACCTCCTCATATGTTTAACATCTTGGATAATATAAGGATTTTTGACATGTATTATTCATAAAACTTACGATGGAAAGTAGTTATAATAATGTAAAGTGGATGATGATGGAATCAAGGGAATATTTGGTTCAGAAGGAGCTGTCAGCATAAAAAGAGCTGGGCACCTAAGGAAAAGTGGAATTGATGTAGGGACCATCTTCCTACTGTTGACTCTCTTGCCTGCTTCCCCTCCAGTTTTCTTCTTTTCCTGTCTGAATCTCCAGAAATTAAAACTTAGTATCTAGTTTTTGTTACCCTAACCATGGAAGCTTTTGATTACCAGTAAAACTTGTCTCAAAATAACAACCTCTTCTTTCATGCAAGCAGCAATGTTGCCCCCATTTATTATTATTAAAGCCTTCTTTAATAGGGACAGCTCACATCTTGCCTTGCTCGAGTACATGTGAGAAATCAGCAACTCAGGTGACACCTTCCATAGCTATACACACGAACTGACTCTTTATAGCCTGTAAGCAGCTACTAATAAGAACCAATTTCTGTTTTGATAACAACAGAATTTCACATCTTGCTAAATCTGCTAATTCAAAATTGTGTGTATATTTGTGATATGGTATATGTAAATTTTATTTTCTAATTTAAAACACATTTGCGTAATTGAGTACCTCAGTGTGTTCTGATAATCAGAATATGTAAGATTTGGCAGGAAAGCAATTTATTGAGTCTTTGGCTCTATTTGTCCTGTTCATTAAGATCTTCAAAAAAATCAGTTTAAAATATTATAGCATAGGGTGTGAAAATTCCAGTGCCCTTCCTGAATTTTGTTTTGCTGATTCCTTAGGTTGTCATCGGCACCTCTGGCATCACTAAAGCCTAGTTCTCTCTTCGTATCTTATGGCAGATTTTTTTCCTTTAGCCCAAATATAGATGGGATCTTTCCCTATGTAGTCTTGAGCAGAGTGAAAATATGAAATATTTCTTCAAGACAGATAAAATGAAAACTTATAGCAACCAAGTCAAAGTAATCTGTTTTACCCAAACCCCACGAAAACCTTCTTGTCACACTACCTATGCCTATGTATAGAGTCATATACAGTCAGCCCTCTGTATCATGGACTCCAACCACTTGTGGTACAAAAATATTTTGTCTAAATAAAAATATGAAGTAAAATGCAGCAATAACAAAAATACAAATTAAAAATAATGCAGTATAACCACTATTTACATAGCGCTTACCTTGTAAGTGCTAAGTATTATATTAGGTATTAAAGGTAATCTCGAGATGATTCAGATTATAGGAGAGGATGTGTATAGGTTATAATCAAATACCACCCCATCATATAAAAGGAATTGAGCTTTCATGGATTTTGTTATCTGCAAAGAGTCTTGGAACTAATCCCTCATGGATACAAAGGGACAACTATATTAATAAGATTTATAAAGACATTTGTGAGACATAGACACTGTGATTGCCACCTCATCATCCATGCATCTACCACTGTGTAGCTGCAATGCTATGTTAGGAAAGGATAGCCCTGGGGGTTGGGTCATGATTTGTCTGGGCCTATCATGGGGATTGTTTCAGGACCATAGGCCTAAGCCAGTCAGCACATGCCATTGCCCAAGTGGAGACATATGATCTGTTCCCTATATTTGCCTCATGAAGCTGAAAAAGGTAGCATTTTTGATGGTTAGAGCTTGATCATTTATGCCTCCACTGGATATAAATAAGGAAGGATGCAACCCTTATCACTGTAATCAGGAAGGAAACCATCCTTGTGATGAACCTGACATCACATACTGCAGAATGAAGAGATGGAAAGTATCTTTCTCTTGGATAACATTGTTGAATCCTCCAATCCTGGAGCCCGGTCTAATGTTTGGGTTTCTGAATATGTGAGTCAGTATATCCTTATTACTAAGCCAGTTTAAGACTTTTACATTCCTTGTAGCCTAAGGCATAAAAATCTTCCCTGATGCTCATATTTTCATTTACAGGGCAAGAAAAATATGGGGCAATATTAATAACCTCTACTGTTATTAAGAGAAAATGCTGGTAAACTGCTCTGTGACTTCTTAAAAAATTAAATGAGCATGTATATAGCTTATCAATCATCTTAATAGCTATCAATCTCTAGTAAAACAAAGCTGAAGTGATTTAGGGTTAACATCAATAAAAGGTTTATGCATACACATTTTAAAATCGCTTCATATAATCCAAAGGGATATATTTTTTGGTAGATGCTTTTAAGTCATTGTATACTTCTTTTCCCTTTTATCTATAACCAATGTGAAGTCAGCCATTTTACTTTTAATACTATAATGAAAATATGGAGAGAAGAAAGAGAAAGGAAAGAAGTGGATTTAGTATTAATTAGTTTGGATCATGTAGGGTTGAATGATGACTTTAAGATGCTTCTCCCTACTCTCCTAGGCATAGTAAGAGGAAAGAACAGCACTTAGAGGATTTGAATGTATATTATTAGTGTGAGTTATAAATGGAGAGGAATGCTTATATTTTCAAAGCAATGGTAAGATTTATGCTTTGCATTGTAATGCAAACAGTATTTTCATGGACATTGTCTCATTTAATTCCATCGAAATCTGAACTCTCTAGTTTTGTTATCATTATTATTTTACAGATGAAGAAAGCCCTGAAAAACAAACGGATCATAGATTTTGAAGTCAGATATCCAGATTTAAATCAAGTCTATGCTACTTATTAACTATGTGAATGTGGGCACACTAACACCTTGAAAGCTTGGATTCCTCACCTTTAAAATAGAGGCTACATCTTCTGTCTCACAGAATGTTGTGAAACTGTGACAGTTGCAAAGCAGCTAGTTAATTGGCATTTCATCTGCACCAGTTTCTATCACATCCTCTTATTCCCCGTGGAGAGGTTACAGATTTGCCCAGAATCACTGATAGTAAATGGTAGTGCTAGACTCTACCTCAGATCTTCTGACTGTACTGTCACCTCTCTTTTATAACATAATTCATTTTTATGCCATAGATAAAAATACAACTAGAAAACTGAATGTGAGAAAAAATGTCTTCAGATGAAGATACAGAATTAAATTGGAAATGACAAACACAAACTTTGAAATAATTTTATTTACCAGTATTTCAGCTTTAAAACAATAGGATATTGTGCTCATTTGCTGAGTCAAAATGTTTGTGCATTTTAAATAAGTTGGGCTATATTAATGTTATGGAATATTGTTAAGTAAGTGTTTTCGTTGATAAATTATAGTTATTTACTAAGCTTATATTTGAAAAGCTACATAGGGGATAAAAAGTAAAAATAATTTTTACCACCTTCTCAATTACACATTTTTTTCCTGTTGATTTAGTTATGTAGATGGTTTGGTGGGTCAGTAGGTAGGTATGTAGATCATGGAAGAAAACACATGGTATTATATGTTTTAATCCATTAAAATATCAATTTTAAAACATGTGCATTTATCTTTTTTTTTCTTTTGATTTTTCTGAGATGGAGTCTTGCTCTGTCACCCAGGTTGGAGTGCAGTTGCGTGATCTTGGCTCACTGCAAGCTCCACCTCCCAAGTTCACGCCATTCGCCTGCCTCAGCCTCCCGAGTAGCTGGACTACAGGCACCTGCCACCATGCCTGGTTAATTTTTTGTATTTTTAGTAGAGACAGGGTTTCACCATGTTAGCCAGGCTGGTCTGGATCTCCTGACCTTGTGATCCGCCCGCCTTGGCCTCCCAAAGTGCTGGGATTACAGGCGTGTGTTTACCTTTTAAATCCCTGAAATTAGGATTCATTTTGCAATGAATGGCTTACCAGGGTTGTCATAGTTTAATTTAAAGTTTTTAAAATCTTACATTGAATGAACTATGGTAGTATATTTAAATTTTAAGGGAAATAAAGTGTATTTCATTATGCAAGTGGAACTATCTCTTTGCTGCTATTGCTTATGAAGTTGCCTTAATTTTTGTGGTAGGCAGAATAATGGTCCTTAAGAGCGTATTTGCCCCAGTCCCTGGAATTTATGAAGATGTTAGGTTACAAAGCAACAAGGAATTAAGGTAGTAGATGGAATTAAGGCTGCCAGCCA